AAGCTATATAATATAATGACTTACCGACATAATCCCTGAAAACGAATATGGAAGTTGTATGTATGATTTTGCATTTTACATAATCTATCGATAATATGGTAAAACAAAATGATGAGATAATCACAATAATATCTCATTAATTCGTAGGCACGCCTTGTGATTTATTTTTTGATGTTAAGCCACTTCTGACGAAATTATTTTGAGCTTATGATAAAAATCTCCAAGGCTTTTAAAAATTTATAGAATTATTCTGAATTTTGTTATACAAGAAAATATTCTTATACTACAAGGCCAATATATAATTATTATAAATGAATTAGGAATATTATAATACAAGTTTAGAACCTTTTACCTAGAGAAGACTTTAAGGAGATAATAAATACTTTTGGTGATTTTTTTAATATAAATGTCTTTCTAGATGAATCATCTGCCACTCAGTTTGAGAAAGACTGAAAACAATAATAATAACATTTTTTTTGTATGAACTTAATATCTTATAATGATTTACTTTTTTTCTTTTGTTAGATATATAACATGTACTCGTATTGTGGCAATATTTTAAATTCGCGTAGGTAATACAACAAATGTATGGACAGTCGACGTAGGGTTAATTTAAAGGTATTTTATAGCAATTGATATATTATGATACTTTATGGTTTTGAAAAATCTATTTCGATTTCTTTATGATCACTAAATTGTAAATTATAAATTCTTTTAATTTATTTGATTAATCTGACCTAAGAAGTGACTTAATCACATAATTTTAATGTACAATCAAGTCTCATGGTACGTATCAGCTTCAAAACTTTGAGAGCCCTTGACCGACTTCTGTTTAATCTTAGGTATAGATAGTCTATTGTCAAAAGCATACGAGTTTATAAAACATCAAGATTTAAGAATACAAACAAAAACGTGTTTAGGTTTTTTTTGCTTATCTATTGAATTTATCTAAAACATCGCCTGTTTTTATTTACAAATATAGTACAATCAAAATTACTTTTATAATATTGTAATATCGATTTTATAAGTTGTTGTAATATATCCCATTAATCCCATTATTTATAATATTATTATAAATGCGAAAGTTTGGATGGATGTCATCAATCACGCCAGAACAGTTGAACGGATCTGGATGAAATCTGGATAGATTATAGTCTAGACAATGTACGGTTCCCGTGGGATAGATTTGTTTTTGATTTCCACTAGGGATGAACCTGAGCCAAGCGAGGGTGAGTAGCTAGTTCTTTATAAATTCGTATGTCAGGTCTCACTACTAATATACCTACATGAGAAATTTTGTTACACTTGATCGCTAACAAAATTCATAGGATCACCCGCTGGGCTAGTCTGAAGATTACCTGAAAATTTCATCAAAATCGCTCAAGCTGTTTTGGAGTGCATAAGAAATTTTATTTTATTTTTATTTATTATATTTATTTTATTTATTAGTGAATACAAACCTTGCAGATACCCACTCGAACATACACAAAAAATATCATTAAAATCGTCGCTGCCGTTTACGAAATGATCAGTGGCACATCGACTGCAGCGCCATCTACTAGGACCATTTGTGTTTTAAAACCTTGCAGGGACCCACTCGAATATGCACAAAAAATATCATAAAAATCGTTCCTGCCATTTAGAAGATGATCAGTGGCACATCGACTGCAGCGCCATCTATTGGGACCATTTGTGTTTTTAAACCTTGCAGGAGCCCATTGAATTATACACATAAAATTTCATGCAAATCGGTCCAGTCGTTTAGGAGGAGTAAGTTAACAAACACACGTACAAAAGAATTATATATATTAAGATAAGGTAGACTATGACCTGAAGTAACACATAGGCTACTGTTAATATTAAAATTTGCCAAAAGATGGTGCTGCCTGTATGTAATATTATAAATGCAAAGTGAGGCGAGGGTAAGTCGCTAGTTATTTAATTAAAAATTACGTAACATTTAATATATTATTAGTTTTTCTTCTTGCATTAGCTTATAGGCAAATGTTCAAGAGTGAATTCATCGAGTAAAAAGAAAAAGTGAATGGTGCCACTAACATGAACAACTCGATGGTGCTTGCTTTGGGAAAGGCGAAGTTTTTTGCCATTTGAAAGTCTATACTTATAGTAAAATTTTTTAAGGGGTTAAATCTGTTCATTACATATAAAAATATATTATGTAAATTAAGCAATTATAACGTAGCATAAAGTATTTTATTTAAAAAAACGACAAAATTTGATTTTTTTGAATAAATTTAATTTAACTTAAACAATAATAAGAGATACCCATCTTTAATCACTCAACATTTCGCTAATTTTCGATGTGATTATTTAGATTTTAAAAATACTTGAACTATAGCAAGAATTTTGATAAATAGGCAGCATTTTATTTTGCTTCATTTAATTGGAATCTCCAAGCTTACCGAGCTTTATATTATGTTTTCCAAGTCTACACTTCTGTTACCAAACTCTCGAATATTTATAAGCTTTTATTTGTAAATTATATTAATGAAATAATATAAAGCTTTTGTGTCTTATATTAGAAATACATGTACTAATGGATCCTTTGTTTGATGTTTAAGTAAAATTAATGAAGTAAAAGAATTATAGGTATCTACGCAAACGGATTTTCCGTTACAAGAGTAATTTCCCTAAGAGCCGAGATAAATATCAAGGTTGATAGTTTGTCATAACTATCTCTCATGTATTTATAAGAGAATGTTGACATTTCTAGTAATAATAATTAAAGCTACAATATCCAAAGCAATCTGTGAAACCACTGTCCCAACTCCCATACATAACTCAGGTCTGAGCAATATTGTTTCTTACTAGGCATAACCAAGTCAATTACAACAAAATAAACCTGTTATAACTAGGAAATAATTACATACCTTATATGTCAAACTGGTTTTATTTATTCAAGATCAATTATTGTTTATTACACAAATAAAAGTAAGCTAAACTTACAATGTTTTGTACATATAAATTATATACACAATGTTACATAATTTTAGTATTAGTTATGGCTCAAATAAGGTATTTATGTCTAAAAAACGACTATTGTTTAACATACAAATATACACTCCATACATTTTACTTTCAATATTTAATTTTATATCAGCGTCCTCTAGAGAAAAATTATGTAGTCAGTTGAAAAAGCTCTCTTTCAATACATCTGTGTCTTCATTTTCACGTCGCGATATAGTAGTACAAAACGAGATGGCGCTGGTTTCGATTTACGAAGAATTTTTCTTTAAAATTAAAATCTTTAAATAAATGATTGCAAAAGGCTGCCAGAAGGATATTGTTATATTTACTATATATATTATATACTAGCATTGCCCGCGGCTCCGCCCGCGTTCAGATGACCGAAAATAAAATTCTTAGGTTTTACATATTAGTATACTCTTACATTGCAGTTTTTGTATTTTTTCTCAGAAATGAGACATTTTCCCGCGGTAAAAAGTATTCTATATGTTGACCTGGATAACCAGCTATCACCATACCAAATTTCATCAAACTCTCTTCAGTAGTTTTTCTGTGATGCGTTAACAGACAGGCAGACAGACAGACAAAAATTCTAAAAACTATAGATTCGGCCTGTCTATCGATAATAAATAAATAAATTCTTTATTGACATAATTTTATACATATGGCTATAATAATGATAATAATGACTATTTCAATGAGATTTCCCAAAAAATATTTAATGTACAGAGTCGACTCAGATACAATTTTATTATATGTATAGATTTTCTATATAGTTCTATATTATTTTTCTTGTTATTTTTTAAGGAGCCATAATCATAAAAATTTTGCTTACGCAATAGGTACGTTGTCATGTGTGGGAACGTAGATGATAGAGTAAAATAGAAAAAAGCTTGTGATATTTTGTTTCACATATTACTTTTTTAGATTTACGCGAATATTTGACATTTTATATAAAACTATGTTTTCGGATTTTTCACGGATTTATTTTTATTTTTGGTTCCCGACATTTCGAATGTTTTAAACAGCAATCATGATTATGGGAAAGACTCCGTCGACTCTATCGGGAATCAAAAATGAAAATCCGCGAAAAAATCCGAAAAGATAGTTTTATTTTAAATATTTTGCTTTATTTTTAATATTTATTGTGCATAAAATTAAATATTTATTATAAATTGTGCATAAAATTTAATAATATTTAGAAAATATTAAAACAATGTTCATAAATAAGTTAGAAGCAATTATACAAATTTAAGAGATAAAATATCATTAAAAGCTTATCAGTTAGACAAAGCTTAAAGTTGCATTAGCCCACAAGGACACGAGTAAAGAAATAAAAATACAAGAAGAGTCTCTGACTTAGTTCGCACTTGCAAGAATGCTCTTACTCAGTTCATATCCTTTCTAATATTAATTAAGTGTCATTTACTCATACTAATAATTACGGAAATGCTAATAGATATAATCATTTTTTTTACTCAGATTAAATGAGTAACTGGTTTCTGTGTCTTATTGAAAGATAATTAATATTTGTAAATATTATATTAATTATTAAATTCTATATCTATTTATTTTACAAGATTATATATAAAAGTAAAAGTTAAAGTATTACATCAACTGTTTAGCATAAATTTTGATTGATTAAACCTGACTATTTCCGGTTTATTTTAATTTTAATGCAAATTCATTCTTATCAATTATTTAACAAAAAAGTGATAACTACACCTGAATAATAATAATTGAAAATGTTATTCGTTTAAAAAAAACACGATTGATTTGCACACAAACTTAATTAACATGACACATATCTTGCTCTACCTTTTTATTAATGATCGCATAACATATTATAAGAAAACAATCGAAGTTGCGGGAATTGGTGAAGGAAATCATTTCTGCGAATACAAAGAGACATTCGAACAATCGCTTCCAGCCTCCGTCAGTTCATTGATGTCAAGCGCGGTGCGCACGCGCAGCAACCACGCCGCCACTCTGCTACCACTCGCCGAAGCAACATGGCGGCACTACAGAGTTTACCGGTAAGTTATATACAAACTTTAATTAACATACTAATAGCCTGTTTCTTATAACTATCGACCTCCCAATTTGTCAATTTCATTACTAGCACATTCTAATTCGGTCAGACTATGTTCACATTGTTTATGATATTTTTATCTGTATAGTATAGTACAAGTTGTTGTTAATTCCGTTTATAGAAAAATTAATATATTTTTTATTACTTTAAATCTACATGGCAAACTTGAATTATTGACATAGTAAATATTATGCGACATGTTAGTAATATAGTGCTTATTTTGTTATGGAGTAAATTCGCTTTTATATTGAATACTTACAAGTATTTAAAGAAATGTTTAATGTACATCTTATTAATTGTTACTAAGATAAGTCTATATACTACATAAAGTATATTAAAAAGTATATCAAATAGATTTTCAAAATATTTAAATAATAAACTTTATATTTTATGAAATATATCTATATATGAAATATAGCTACATATATATAAAAAACCTTACTTTGACAAAAATATATTACTTTAGTACATAAGGTAAGTACTTATTTTTGTGAAGTAATTAGATATATCATTTTACTAATTGTTATATAATTATTTAAAGCTTAAAATGCATTCCTTAATTACATACAGTTATTATGAACAAGTATATTTTTGTTAGCACGTTTTTACTAACTTCACTTGTAAATATAATTTTTATGACGATTTTAATCGACTATATTTTGGTACAATTTAGAACATCTGGGAACAACCGGGAAGTTGGTAGTGGAAATTTTAAAAGAAATAGGTACTAATAAAACCTTAACACTGTGCTTGAATTAAATTCGTTTGTCACAAAGCAGTCGGTCAGTGCCGTATTTTTGAGCTGTTATTATATTAAAAACAAAACATATAAGCCTGTATTAAAAACCTATATGACACAGTACTTTTGAAATCTAGCAATCGTGAACATCCATCAAGAATGGATATTATATATACATGAACAGCATAATTTTACGAAATCACTATTCACGTACTACAAAGGTTGCGTATGTTTATTTAATTTTGTGGTAGGTATTGTTAAAATTTAGTAATGCGTTAAGCTAAGGTCAGAGTTAAAAGCAAATTTATTTGACATATTTCTGAAATAATACGATTTAATGCTATATATGAAGTTAGATATGCATCCTACTTATAAGCGAATATTTAATATACCACCAATGAATTTCTATGGCTGTGCTTTTTCTTTAAATTGATATTTTTGATATATCTAAAGGTGCAACGAGAATAGTTACAAGAAAGTTTATTAAATGTCAAGTAAAAGTAAGTAATTATAAAAAAATACAATAGAATTAGATTTTATATTTACACCTTGATAAATAAGTCAGCCAGGACGTGGATTTTATATGTACATATATGTATATTTTGTAAATCAATCAGTTTTAGTTAAACTCAAATCAATCAGAATTTTATAGAGTTTAAGAAAGTTGGGACGAGTCATTAGTATATAAATTATTATTTAGTAACCTCTACTGATTTTGTGTTACACTTTAGAAGGAAAACTTTTGTCAAATTGAGCAACTACTCATTATAGTCTACCTTTGTCAACAATAGATTTACACTAATGTAAGCTTTACAAACCTTTAGCGTGCTTATAAAGCTACGTAGAGCAATTTCTTTATCTAGACAGAGGCCAGGTGGGTCGTCGAACTGTGACTGTATCCAGAATGCACAATGATGCACAAGCTTACATTGCGACATCTATCTTTTGCGTGCATTTTTAAGAAAAACACTTTTTAATGCAATCTACTCTGTACTCTGTCTTTGATTTGGATCACTAAAATTTTATCACGTAATAATCTTAGAACTTTAAGAGCTTTTAAACTTAAGTTAACTTATATAAATCTAAGTATATAACTCATAAGTTAATTTGACCTCAATGACTGCTCGCGTTTCATTTCTTAGACCTTGTATGTAGGCGTGTCCGAATGGTCGTAACAACAGAGCAGGGATAATCAAACAAAGGTCCGGCAATAGATCTTACGATTTAACGATTCATTCTATATAATTAATTTATATTTAATATTATGAATATAGATATAACGATCACTTTAGTAAATATAACAAATATTTGTCTCTCTGGCACAGTTTATTGTAACAGAGCTTATAATATCGATTCTCGCACTTATTGGATATTTGCGTTCAACATAAACGTTCTAATAATTAAACATGAAAATATGTGAGGATCTATAAATTGTAGTGATGTTTGTTTGTTGCCCTTTGACGCAAAATGCACTAAATGGACTTTAAAGTAATTTAAAAGTTTATAAGTCATAGTAACATATGGCTATAAATAAAACTATCTTTTAGGATTATTTCGCGGATTTATTTTGATTTTTGGTTCCCGACGTTTCGAATGCTTTACAGCAATCATGGTAAAAATGTCAAATATTTGCATAATTCTAAGAAAGTATCAAAGCTATATTTATTAAGATATATAATTATAAAGATATCGTTATACATATATATATATATATATATATATATATATATATATATATATATATATATATATATATATATATATATATTATCTTCTTTCTCTCTACCCAAAGGTTGTCTAGAATAGATCGCTCTCTAGCAATAAGGCAGCCTATTGTACTATATCTCTTTAATCTATTTAATGTAAAATAATGGTGTGCAATAAAAAAAAATCATTTCATTTATAATTGAATTGTGCGGGTGGAACCGCAGTAAAATGTATTACAAAAAATTGTATTAAAATAGTATTAAATATTTGCCCCTACCTGGTTAAGAATAATTGAGATCGTACGGTGTACGAGACGTAGTATTTTAACAGTCAGAAAACGTAGCATAAAATGGTGAAAAACTGTTTTCTGGAAACTTTATTCATTCTACTAGGATAAAAAGGTAAGCTTATATTTTGCAAAAATGACAGTTTAACGGTATAACTAAATCCTTTCATTGGTGGTTTTCTCGTACACTGTAGAATCACTCTTATTATTCAAGTAATAATCTATATTTAATATTAATAAGCAAAGGAAGGCAACCTATACCCTATTGGATACATCACAGACCGTCGCATCATGTCTAACGAATAATGACGAAATGTCCATTCTGTAATTCGAGAACATTGCATTTTTTTCTAACAAAATAGTAGTGCGATGTAAACATAAATAACCTTATTTTGTAAATATATACGACCCTAATTTTAAATACTTGGACACATATGGAATAGACGAATATAGTGACATTGTACACTGGAGCCGATTTCCGGATCAAAACCGGACACTGCTTACTGGCATATTGTCCGTCATTTACACGATAATTTTCAACATTGTAAGTCTCCGATACTTTGGCCATGAACTTACGACTTTACTTAATTTTAATGGTTTAAGAAATTAAGTTTTAATTTTAAAAATATTTTATTGTTTAAGTGCATTATTCAATAATTTATTCTTTTCGTATCTCAAAAAGAAAAAAACAACGCCCATATAGGTTTACCTACGAGTATATGTATGTTTGTCCGTCACTTATACGAAGTAGTTAAATATTTAACTATCACGGTACCTAAATCTAGTGTTAGAGAAAGCTAAAATTTCCTAAAGTATTTTTTTATTTTAATATGGAGTGTTAATTTTAGATTTTTTTAAAACAATGCATCACACGATAAATGAAACGAAAAAAAATGTTCTAATATTTTTTAATTAAGTTATTATTCAAGAAACATTTTAAAACAAAATTTACGATAATTTATTTTCGTCGACCAGATCGATATATGTATGTAGTTACTTTAAAAATAAAGCTATGATATATTTTTTAAATAATGACTCAGTTCTTGCACTTAACAGGAAAAATTGTCTTTGAGTCGAGAATAAGAATATAAAACCGCTTATGTCTACTTTATAAACATTCACATTCGTATGTAACTAAATGGCATCCTTTGCTCATATAAATATTTACTATTTGTTTATTGCACCAATGGACGACAGACATTAACTATTTATACTCGTAGTAGGAGATGGCACATCTTTATACTCTTACATACATATAATACCTATAGTCTATATATTACTATACTAGCGACTCACTCTCGCTTCGCTCGGGTTCATCCCTAGCTTGCTTCCCAATACAAACTTTCATCCCCATTTTCACCCCCTAAGGGATGATATCTGGAATAAAAAGTATCCTATGTCCTTCCCAAGGTCTCAAACTGTCTTTTTAACAAATTTCATCTAAATCGGTTGAGTAGGTCCAGAGATTACCCCCTACAACCTCACAAACTGACAAACTCACAAACTTTACCTCTTTATAATATCAGTGTAGATAAGGTAATAATTTCTTTCTAGATAAGTATTCTAGATAAGGTTTTGAATACAATTGTAACCTTATAAATACTATACAATGTATTTTAGTAATATTTAACATGATATATATACTAACAAGACGCATATGCCGATCGACCTAGTAGCTCATGAGGGTATTTCGCAACCAGCGTTAGAACCACAGGTGTTTAACCTACTGTTTACTCTTAGGTGCGAAAGTGATAATAATTTAAGTTTCGATTTAGGCATCAGTCTCATATCGTATTAATATTTTGTTTTTAGGATTGTGCAAACTGTTGCGTTAGAACTCGGCAATGACCTAGAGTTCTTGACGACTATACTCAACACTGAAATTGTTAATATTCAAATTATACTCTCAGGGACTGTTGCAAAGTAAATTATCTATTATTAATGATAATCTTTCAAATTGCTGCTAGGTGGAGTTTTGGTTATGTATTCAAATATAGAAAAATAATTAAAAGTTACAAAAATGAATTGTAAGAGGACTTTAGTCGATGTCGAAATATGATATATTCAGTATAGTGTATAAAGAATGGACATGGCCATGCACCCATTTTCTTCTCCCTTCACTTAATATTAGTACTCAGGTGCAGTATTTATAAAATATACTCGCAATAATCTAACCTTTTGGTTCATATATAAATATTTAATAGATACATGGGAACTACGTAAATGATCAATTTTAACAAAAAAATATTATAACTTTGTCTATATAGGTAGTAAGTTAGACGTTTTTTGTTAATTTTATTATTTTAATAAATTATTCGATGTCATCAATCCTCATATTTTCAATATTTTATTCCTTAATAGAAAAACTTGACTAAATTTTAACTTTAATAGTTTTAACTTCAAAACTACCTATATTTCTTCAATCTGATGATTAATATAACAGTTAATAAATTATAGCTTTTGTCAGTTCATATCCTAATGGAACCATGATTGTCCCCGTTACAAATTTCTTTTTGCTGAGTAAATGCGATTCAGCACCAAGATGCAATACAAGATAGTTATAGTATTTAATTGTCGTTTAATTACTAATTATTTCTAATAGTCCCATACAAAACATTAGTTGAGGAAGCGTTTTAAAGATGTAAGAGCGGGTCACTAGTACAAGATGTCGTTAAAGTTTATCTTCAAATATCATGAGAGTATTTAGTATCAAGATTCCTTTTACAACAACGCCGCTTCCGCTTTTTGGTAGAATTATCTCGTTTCGTGCCTCACAAGGAAAAGGCGGACTTTCTTTAGGATCACTCCCATATCTGACTGTCCTTTTGTTGGGATATATTTTCCGATATTTATACGTTTTTCATATATAATTTGACTAGTGTTTGTCAGTGGCTTCACCCGTATAGTTTATTTATATGTTATTTTTACACTCAACTTCTAATGGTCGCAGTTGTTTGTTACTTAAGTCTTCCTCGATATTATATACTATATAACATACTAGCGGCTCACCCTCGCTTCACTCGGGTTCACCTCGATTAACTTTGCGGATCAATGCATTATAATCTGTGAGGATAATTCCTAGCTTTACATATTATTGATACTTTCGATACTTTGGCCATGAACTTACGAATTTACTTAATTTGAATGATTTAAGGTATTAGTGTCATTTGTAAAAAAATATTTATAATGACATATTTTATGAAAGGCTCGTTATATTTTATCATAGTTATAAAATACATTTTGAAGAGATCATGCAGAAAAATACAATAATCTTATTAAAAAATTAACGAGCTTCTAAAAAAGCAGGATATATGATAAAGCAGTGGTAGCCCAGTTTTAACGCGCACATTTGGAAAACCAAGTGAAACGAGTTCAAATCTTGGATTTCGGAGCTCTGGTATATTCATGTGCGAATCATTTCCAACAAGACTACCATTTGCTCGTACGGTGAAGTTTTCTTATGATATTATGTCATGAAGAAAACCTGCATGTCTGAGAGAACATAGCAGGTTTTCAAAAGATATACGATGTCCGCCAACCCGCACTTTGCCTGTGAGGTGGACTATGACCTGATCTCGACTGTATCGACTGAAGGTCCATGCCGAGCAACGGGACGTTCAATTATCAATAAGACTGAACACATAAGACCCTAAAAAAATAATTTATTTAAACTCGAGTGTGACTGAAACCCTATTTAACGCTAGTCCGACTCGTAATAATTTTTTTTTTCATAAAAATGCTTATTATATAACGTATACTATATTACATTTATATTAGGTACTTATTTCAATCTGTACTTTTTACAAGAGATCTAAGCAAAAACTTTTTGCGGCTTACTTCATCGTCCTATTAGACACGGTTCTGAAATAAATACAATAATTTGATTCGATCTTAGCTGTATGACCAAGTCGTAAGTAATGCGTATAAAAACTTAAAAAAATATATAATAAAAACCGATTTCCAGGCACTAAAATGTAAAAAATAACTAATCAGAGGTTTTCATTTCGAATACATACCTAATCAGATATTTTCGAAGTCGGTGCCAGCCGATGCACAGCAAATCTAATATATTTCGATACGTAAAATACATATTTACTATTAGATACTAGTAGACTAGATTACCTATTAGATATTCATATCTGATATCTTAAAATATTTGAAATGAACACCTCTGTTTAGTTATTTTTTTACATTTTAATGCCTGGAAGTCGGTTTTTATTTATTTTTTAAGTTTTTATTTTTCCATTTTTAGTGTAGACGTAATAAGCAGATAATTTGTAAGAAGAAAGTTTTTTAATAATATATTCGATTAAGCGGTTTGTTTAAAAAATATATTTATTGTTGATTTTTTTTAAAACCGCTCGACCGATTTCGATATAATCTATATGTGACCTGGAAAGTATATATACCCTTTGAAACAAAAAAATAATATTTCCAAATCGGTTCAGGAATCTTCGAGTTATCAGTGAACATACATTAAAAAAATCCGACGAATTGAGAACCTCCTCCTTTTTGGAAGTCGGTTATAAATATAAAACCTGTAAAAAATTAACTACTAACATAGAGGATATTTTTTAATTCACTTGCATGTTGACCGTCATGATGCAGTCTGGAATGCGTTTAACTAACTGCTTATATTATGTAAAATAATAAACGTTTATACTTGTTGCTTTAACGTCACTACTTCATATAGGAACTATTAATATATAAACTGTATTTATATTAGTCTATTGTTCTATTTTCAAAATAAAAAAAAACAATAAAGCAACCATAAACAAATTTTAAATAATTCTAAATAGTAGTTTTGATACGAAAAATATCATTTTCAAGTCTTTTAAGGAAAAATATTATTCAACATTATCAAGTAATAGACCTACCTACGATTAGGTATATGAGGTACATACGATTATATTGCAATGTTCAAGGCGAACTCTAATTGCTCTCTTTGTAATTGTCATTTAATGTTAGTTATGTATAACAAGTTTCCTTAGCTTAGTAATTTTAATGAAAAAAATGTTATGACGAATATCATTGATTATATTCACTATACGAAAGCCAAAAAAAAGATCAAAAATTACTTATAAACTAAACAAGAATATCTGATCAAATTAATTTTATATATTTTTTAAACTTGCTTATTACATTTTAGTGCCTGGAAGTCGGCTTTTATTTTTTGTTAAAAAGTTTTTATTTTTCCATTTTTAGTGTAGACGTATTGAGCAGGTAATTTGTAAGAAGAAAGTTTTTAATAATTTATTTAAAAAAATATTTATTGTTGATTTTTTTAAAAACCGCTCGACCGATTTTGATTAAAATTTATATGGGACCACATGGGAAGTGTACCTTTTGAAACAAAAAAAAAATCCAAATCGGTTCAGGCGTCTTCGAGTAATCGGTCAACATACATAAAAAAAAGATTCCGATGAATTGAGAAACTCCTCCTTATTGGAAGTCGGTTAAATTAATTAATTTTAATTAATTAAAATTAAAAACGTTAAAGCAGCAAACTATGCTAAATATTTTCACTATTATATTTTTTATATCATTTCAGTGGCTGTATATGGCTTTTGCGGTTGTTTTAGCAGCGCCTGCTCCAGGAAGAATTCCAAAAGTTTACAATGCTTTGATTACGTCCAACCAGAACTTGGAGCCAAGCAAAGCATTCCCAGTATACCAGCCCGTGTTACATAACACCTTTCCATTCCCACTACAGACAGTTGTCTATGGAGATCTACCTTTAACAAACGTAAGATTTTGCTTTACTATATTTTGGTACAATTATAATTGTACCAAATAATTAATAATTATTTAAAGCTTTTTTATCTATTACTCATCTGTCTGTAGTGTGTTACATACTTAATAATAAAAATATGTATTAAATATACATATATCTCATTTCAGGGTCTCATCCCAGTACCTGCTGCGCCTAGTAAAGATGTCAATGTGAAACCTCAAGAAACCCCTACATCTATTCCGGATGGTGCATCAGATGTAGAAGCTACAGAAAAATCCGTTCCTGCACCTGAGCCTAGTCCAGCACCTGAAAAAGACGCAACAACAACACCACCGGTTCCAAAAACCGAATCACCAATACCTCTTAATGAATTTGGCTTACCTCCCCAAATTTTACCATTAAGTCGTGTCAACCCTGGATATCAGTACACACAATTAGCCACTTATCCTTATACATATCCAGGTCTTAGATTGTACGATCCTTACGATCCTTTCGGTTTACAGTTACAGACATACGCCAATTGGCCTCTTTATCAGCCACTAACAAATTTCATTGGGCAAACCTTACCTCTCAATACAGTTAGAGCAGAAGGTCCTGCATTATCTACGTCGGTCGAAGAAAAGTCGGCTCAAGCACCTCCCTCAGAACCAAGTGAGCTTAATGTGCTTAATTATTCTGCAAAAGACCCTGCTATTCCGAATGTTCCACCACCACCCCTACCTCAAGGAGGGCTTAAATCTGATAAAGAATAATTTTAACCTATGTATAAAACTTTTATATTATTAATTCTCTGATAGATTTTCTTTTTTTTCTATCATTTTAAAAACGTCTATAAAAACTTATAGGCCTCTAGAAATACAAGACTATATTGAAATACTAATTTCGCTTATTTTAAGATACAGAAGTACACATAAATTTTTAACAACTTTAAGTAAAGTTCCTTTAAAATTAGAGGTAATATGATTGTATGGTAAAAACAAATTATTTAAGTATTGATATAAATTCTTGTACACAGGAATCTATTATCGAAGCCTAATATTATAAAATACTCGTATGTGTACTTAATTATAATATTTTATACGTTTAATATAAGAATATATTAATATTGTGTTTCATATTTTGAAGCCCTCCCTACTTCTACAGAAAATTATATATTAAATTGGAATATGATTTAAACAAAAAATATATATCATGATGAAGTTTATTATATTTATTGCAAATCATAATCCTTATTTACTCGAACTAAAAGCTCCATTCTCATTAAATGATAAGAGTTAAGCTCTTCTGTTTGCCCACATAAGTAAGGTACATGCATACACTTTATTTGGATGAGGCAAAATCAGTGAACATGGATTTAGATATCGTATCGAAATTGTTTTCCTGTGTGGGATGGTGACACTAATATTAATAAACTGATTACAGTACACAGTACCACACACAGGGTGGTGTCCTTATATGCGTATTATATGTGTATTTCCTCTGCCAGATTTCATACTCATTATGATCCTCAGTATCACAAACTATATAGAAATGCTACGCATCTCTGATCTCCGTATAGTGTAAAGCTCTATCGCGTGGATGGATTTTTTAAATTTTATTTTAAACTAAAGACTCACCCTTGCTTCGCTCGGGTTCGTCCTTAGGTACGTTTAAACGACTGCAGCGCCACCTACTGGATCCAATTGTGTTTTCAAATCTTGCAGAGACCCACTCGAACATACACAAAAGATATCATTAAAATCATCCCTGCTGTATAGGAGACGATCAGTGCACACTGACTGCAGCGCCACCTATCGGGTCCAATTGTATTTTCAAACCATCCAGGAGCTCATTAAAATATACACACAAAATTTAATACAGATCGGCCCAGTCCTTTAGGAAGAGTAGATAAACAAACACACGTACAGAAGAATTATATATATTAAGATATAGATTTCTTTATAGAAGCATCATTAGCAAATTGATATATGTATGTAAAGCCTTTATTTGTATTAATTTTTCAGAGCAATATATTAGTTATAATAAGCATATCTATCTACTAATAAAATTTGTGTAAGAAAAACAAAACCGGAAATATGTATCATTGACATAAAACCATATTTTGATTGTTAATTTAACATTGCAATATTGATATCGAGACGACAAGTTTGGCTCAGTTTGTAGTGAGTAGTGACCCTACTTGCTGTGCCAGAAGTTCGAGTCCCACGAGGGGCATTCATTTGTGTGATGAGCACGAATGTTTGTACTCGAGTCATGGGTGTTTATATTTATAATATGTATGTACTTAAAGTTATATATGTGTAGTATATCAACCATCTGGTATCCATAACACAAGCCTCGTAGCTTACCATGGAACTAGATGGCGCTGTGTCTTAATGTCCCAACATAAAAAAAAATTACGCCAGGAATAATAAAAATGAATACAAATAAATTGATACAAAATAAAAAAATTAAATCCTTCTTTGTGAACATAACTCATGTTCACCTATTCTTTTGTAACCAGCTCAAAATGTATTTGGGTATTTATATATATAAAACTTAGAGTTGAATTTCTTTATTCCTTTTTCCGTTTTGAATAGAAAAGGACTGTTTTCAACATTGGCTTCGTTTAAACTTGTAGATATTTTTATTAATTATATCTATACAGTCTTGACATTTTCAAACACCATGTACATATATAGAATAAACTTATGGTATCTTATCCGAAACTTTGTGATAAATCTCAGATTGTTTTATGCAGTACTGAAGGCTAGTAGTTTTATTATATTGAACTAAGTCAATATATCCATCTGTTTTTCATATTTTATTTTGAGTATTTGCTATGATTAGTGCAAAAAGTTGCTTTTACTTAAGTATATTGTTTCACTTCGGACTACAGGTAAAATATAAACAATACTTTATTTACAAATTCAAACATAAAATATATTTAACAATAACAAGTAATTAAGTTAATAAATTACTTATATGTAAGTAACATAGTATTTAGATTTCACTTAAAGCTTTTGCTCAAAGGAGTTCGATCGTTTGGAAGACTTCCCATTATAATTATGAGAATTATTTTTAGATAGATATATGTATATTGATAGATATATATTAGTTCAAAATTTTATCATTTTGCAGGTTTGTTTTGAAGAAAGTAGAGATTTTTTATTAAAAGCAGTGCGAAATAGAGGTTTGTGGGCAAATAATATCACATCGGGTCCCTGTAATAAAAATGGAACTATTGTAACAACAAATTGTGTAGATGCCGAATGGAACTCTTCCGCTTCCGAATCACAACCATGTTTACAAATATTACAACAATATGACCTCTCAGCCTGTCCACCTGGTTTTGAAAAAATATCAAAAAGCAATAATGATTATTGCTATCAAATTAAAGGTCCATCTGCCTGGGACTATCCTTGCTTAAAGAGTGGTGGCGCTTCTGTAATAACGGATTTAAGTAATGAAGATGCTGATTCGTTATTGAGTTCTGTGCGTAGCAAGAACATATCACGTTTTTTCTGGTTACCGGCTAAGCGGGCTAAATTCTTAAGGCAAGTACAGTGGTATATTCCAGGCCCAAAATGGGGTCATTTCCTTGAAAGTAATAATATTTTAAAAATTCAGACATCCATCTTAAAGAATTGTTTGCTACTAGATATTGAACAAAGAATTTTAATAACAGAAACATGTACAGAAGCATATCCTAATTTATGCTTTTATATCAACGACTTGAATTATCCAGCAAAATGTCCAGATAGATATCATTCAGTTCGTTACATGCCTGATGATGGGATCTGCCTTGGAATCGAACATTCTCCTACGAATTTATCTTACAATTCGTTTATTGACAGAAATATTTGTAAAACACCAATGGGAAATAATAAAAGTAACGATTTGACAAGATTTATTTTTAAAAAGATAGCCTATTTAAATAATTTACCAGATAATATATGGTGTTGGTTTGGATCTTCTCACGTTGATAGCGAAGTTACTACTAATAATACAAATACCAGTATGTTTAAATATGTTAATGATCCTGAAATATATGTATCTATAAATAATATTGGAACACTTAGCTTAACTACTTCTGATTCAATGTTACTCTCGTGTATGGCATGTCAAACTGAAGTGATTTATGAAGAGACTCAATTAATTTTTGAATACAGTGAACAAGAAAATGTAATGTATCTCACTATATATTCTCCTTCAGGCCTTTGGAAATATAATGAAAATGACCCGGGCATACAATGTTTTTCTGATGCTAAAGGATTTGTTAGAGTAATTGATATTAATGAACTACCTTTATATAGAATTGATAATGTTCAATGTGAATCTAGTTCTGAATTAGAAAATTTAGATAAAATTGTATATGCCATAAATCTCATTACTGACAGAGCAGCTCAATACTGGTGTGAAGGACACACAAAAGATTTTTCTCTAATAAAAACTGAAAAAATCGTTGTAAACCCACAAGGTAACAATGTGCATGTATTTTCATTAGTTATTAAAGTGTATATTTCCACTGAAGATATACAAAATATGCTAGAAACAATCAAGGCCGAATTAAGTTTAAATATAACAAATATATTCAAAGCTAACAAAGTTCTTTTAATGGAATATCTTGAATATTCTTCAGATTATTTAATGGTTTTATTACATATGGACATAGCTATAGATGATATTTACCCCGATCACGCAAGCAACATTCAACATACTTATAACACTATATCGGACATAGCAAAAACTGAACTACCTAAATATAACTATATTCTAATTAATATATCAAGTTCCATGTACTGTCTACCTGCAACGTCATTTGATAAATTTATGACCCTTGACTGGGAGATGACCTCTATTGGACATATTGCTGCCCCAAAACAGTTTTGCTTACAAGAAAATGGATTACCAGTAAGAAGACAATGCGCTGGCTCTTACTTATTGGGAAGTTATTGGGGAAGTGTAAAAGGAACCTGTGATAAAAATTATAAGCCTAGCCACACGACCACATTTTTATATAACTTTGTAAAAGGTCAGGTACCTGATAAAAATGCTACTCGTTTTCTCACAGATGGACTCGGTTTTGTATTAGCTGATATTGACATTATAATTCCTGCAGATATATATTATTTATCTATATCACTACAACATTTTTTAAATATAGCACAAGAAAATGAAACTTCTATGGATATGGGAAGTATAGAACATATAGCATGGGTCATGGATAGAGTTACTGTACTTGATAATCGTTACTTACAATTAGCTCAAACACTTAATTCAACTAATATTATTTTAGATTCTGTTAATCGCATTATTGACATGTTAGCTCATAACAATATTCAACCTGAAGAAAATCTAAGAATGACAGGCAAGTATTCACCAGATTATCAACTTGCGATTCAACCACAATTTATTATACAAATTTCTTATCCTTCAAAAAACAATATTAGTGGCCTAGCAGTCATAAAAAATTCTTCAAATAATAATAATTTTTTGGATATTGTAATAAAACCTTTATTCAAAAATACAACTTTAGAAGAAGTTTTATCCATTGATAATTTAGAAATTGCTACTTGGTTACCTAATAAAGTTCTCGATTCATTGAAAAGGATTGGAAATGAAAGCAACGATGAAAATATACATAATCAAGATATACACATCATTATGAGCGTTTTCCATAACGATGCAATATTTCAAGAAGTTAATATAAATAAATATAAAGTAAATAGTCGCATTATCGGCGTTTCAATACCAGGTTATACATCAAACTTCGAAAAACCTATGCCGTTAGTATATAAAAATTTAAACCCTCCTCTTTATGAAAAAGTTTGTGGGTATTGGGATTTTCAAATGAATGAATTAACTAATATTCCAGGATTTTGGTCAAATAGCGGCTGCTACCTCAAAAAATCTAATAATGATTTAGCTGTGTGTGAATGTTATCATCTGACACATTTTGGTCAACTGATAGATCTAGAAAGAAATAAAAACTCTAGTACAAATCATGATATGGAAAAACATAATAGGTCACTTAATATAATTTCTTTAGTGGGTAGCTTTTTATCTTTACTAGGCATAACTGGCATTTGGATAACCGCTTCGGTATTTCAAGTATGGAGAAAAAAAGCCGGAACAAAAGTTTTATTACATTTATCAGCATCCATTGCATTGCCGTTGATATTTATGATTGTCTTTAATTTGAATGATCACATAATAATATATGAAACCAACAATTCTAACATTATTTCTAACGATTTAAACATTGTATGCATTACTTTAGGCGCTTTACTACATTATTCTGTCTTAGCAAGTTTTATGTGGATGTTAATAACTGGTGTTTTACAATTTATTAGATATGTAAGAGTTTTAGGTGTTTACCGTCCATCAAGATTTATGATCAAGTTTACTTTAATCGGTTGGGGTACTCCACTTATTCCCGTCGCAGTTGTTTTGATTTTAGATAAAGACAATTATATACCACATTTGCTAAATAAAGACACGAAATATTTAATATGTTACCCGAGTGGATTTTATATGATAGTTACTGTTATTGTACCCGTTTCATTAATTCTTATAATAAACGTCACCTTATTTACGTTAGTAATATGTGCTATAGCTAAAGGGCCTGATGGAAAATTAAGATCTGCAGATATCGACCTTCTTGGAGCTCAATTACGTTTATCTGTATTCTTATTTTTCTTACTAGGTTTAACCTGGATTTTTGGACTGTTTTCATTTTCAAGTAATCTAATATGGTCTTATCTGTTTTGTTTGACTTCAACAATGCAGGGCTTTGTACTTTTCGTTTACTTTATTATTTGTGATTCTCAAACTCGAAATTTATGGGTAACTTTAATGAAACCACAATTTCGCTTAAGTTCTTCAAGAGAAAGTATTACAAGTCTAAGCAGTACCTAGACCTATAAGAACTGTATTTTGTATTAATGTATTTTCGTAAAAGATTTATTGAAAGACAAATTTTAGTTTAAGATAACTTTATATGTACAAAAAGCAACTACTCATTCAATTAAAAACGATTTATTTAAAATGAATACATAATTCATTAACTTTTCTACCCATTTTCCAAGTTACTTGGGATAGGCGCAGTGAGTCTTCCTCTTTAATTCTCCCCTATTACTCGTCATCTCATCATTCACCCCTTTCTCTTTCATGTCCTGTCTTATACAATCTATGCATCTTTTGTTCGGTCTTCCTCTCCCTCTCCATCTATCTACACCTTGCACAAAAGATCCGAGATACCAAAAGTCAGAATAGATTGATAAGGGTATTCCCGAAAGGGATATGGGCACTTAACTGGAGGGATCGTCGGAGTCGCAAAACAGGTATTTTACTTTGCTTCTGCTCACTTTCAAGACAACACTGTCCCCTCTTTGTCGCCATTCCTCTAATCTGCTCTGAACATCTAGCTCATATATTATCATATAGTTAATAGGTGTAAGATTGTAACTTATGTTTTCAATAATTAATAAGTACTTTGAAAAGCCAAACGCTTATAATTAAGTAAAGAAACCAATCAATGTTTTGGTTTAGGTATATTATTTAATTTACAACTATGTATAAATGAATGAAAAGAAAACTCGTAAGAAATAGACTAATGTAGACTACATATAGCAGCTAATCTTTTTTTTAATATTGGGAAATGAATACCACATATCACCTGCAAAAATAGTTGCTGTAAAGGTGGAAATGTGGGACTCACTGGCTAGAAATGTCAGTACTACCTACTGAAACCCAACGGATCCTTCCCCGTCTTAATAAGACGTCGCAGGATCGGTGACGCACTTAACGACGATGCCCCGACGGCAGGTCTTCTGAAGCAGACCACAAAAACCGAGGAGCTCCCACGGTCCACTGCTATCAGAGAATTATCAGGAGCAACCCACATGACGAACCACACACAGAGGCTCTCTTAGCTTCGCGCTCGGCTGGATTACACGACTTTAATGAGTTGACTTTAATTACTCTTTGAGTCTGTGCTTACTTACTTGCAAACTTTATGCCTAAGTATTCCAATAATGTTTAAATTTATTACATAGAAATAAGTAAACTATTTATTACTTTCTAAATATTTTAACAATGGCGCGAATTTCTAAAAATGATTTATAATAATTAATTAATCATTTGTAATAAATGTATTTGAAAAATCAAGTTCATTTCATTGTTCATTCATCAAATCTAATTTATTTAATCTCTAGTATAAAAGAGTAAAAAATGAATTTACTTTCAAAAAAATTTGATATGTAAAGAGTTTTGATTTTGAACAATGACACACATTCTTTATAATCCCAATACAAGCACATAATATTTACAAATATATGCTCTTCAAGCATAATTTCATTTTATTGCAATACTCTGACATCGAACAGTGAGATGAATATTTGGAAAATAGTTTCACTGACATGTACGTATAGATTTTTAAATAGTGCTTAATTACTTTGCTATGCTTAACGTGGCAACTATAAACATGGTATGTACATATTACTATACATGGTACCACAACCTCCGTTAGCGTCCATTTAAATATTTATCATTTGTTTTAATTTAGCTAAAAAAATAACATTCTTATTGTTATTGACGTGTAATTTTTTTTATTTCATCTCTCTCTCTCTTATATAGGTATATGAAGTAAAACTTTAAGTTTTCGTAATTTGACTGCAGAATTGTTTGGTAGCTTAAATAAAGCTCCTGCTTATCAAACTTAAAAAATATATCTCCAATGCCCAATAGTCTCAAAACTTTTCTTTCCAAACTGGTGGATTATGTATGACGTCCGAATTTTTGAATTCTGATTTTTAAAGTTTAATATACATAATAGAGCCATGTATGGATAGGATAGCATAGGATATTAATGTGTTTCACATAACTAAGAGCGTTGAGCAGGGAATTTATTAGTAATTAAAATAAAATCCCATTACAATTTATCCGTATTAATATTATAAATGTTAAAGTTTGTGAGTATGGATGTTTGTTACTCTTCCACACCAGAACAGCTGAACGGATCTGGATGAAATTTGGCACAGAGATAGATTATAGCCTGGAATAATACATAGGCTAATTTTATCCCGGAAAATGTACGGTTCCTGTGGGATAGGTTTGTTTTTGTTTTCCTAGAGGCGAATTAGAGCGAAGCGAGGGTGTGCCGCAGGTAATATTATATAATATAAATGCGAAAGTTTGAATGGATGTTTGTTACTCAATCACGCTACAAATGCTCATCGAATCTGGACGAAATTTGGCACACAGATAGATAGAGATAGTCTAGAATACACATGGTTTTTTTATTACTCACACACACGAAAAAAATCACGATTCCCGTGGGATAGAATTTTTGTTTTTCACTAGGGACGAACCCGAGCGGTGAGTCGCTAGTATATTTCATATTTTTAATAGTAGTATTTAGTAGCTAGTATATTTCATAATTTTGTTATTTTTTGCATAAATTAACTTCTTTATTATATTCATTATATTAGATTTTTTAATAAACAGAAATTATTTTTTTTCAGTTGCGGTTCGGATAGTATCAGGTATGTTACGAGATTTTGCTACTTGTCATGATGACTTTGGTTTAAAACCACCAGATGGAGTTCTGAAGGAGCATACTTTCACGTGGCTTGGATTTGCTCAATATTCTCACGGTAGGTCAATTTCATACAATAAGCAGTTAACAGTAGACAAAAGACTCACTGACTATAATAAATTTTAATGTTTCATCGTATTTTATAAAATGGTAACACTAACTTAAATTTTGCTAAAATATACTAAAAAAGAGCAAGCTAAAATATATATTTTATAATATTTAAATATTTGTATAATGTTTCAGTGTCAACAGGTCTACCTCATCATAGTAAGGCACCGCGTGTTGTACTGATTCACAAGCAGTTTGCTGTTGGAACCGCTACAGACATGCTACGCTTGCCTAAAAATTATAAACTGTAAATATTTAACAGCTGTAACTGTAAACTGTTAATATTTTAAGCAAATAAATAGCACTGTTAATGGCAATAATAATTATAGGGATGCTCTGACTTTCGTACGTTTTACATTTTAGATGTCCAGTGCAGTAATACAATTATTATCTCACTAACTAGAACCGTAACCACAACCACTTGCTAAAAGAGTTAATGTGCTACTTACTAAAAGAAATAATTAGAATTCCTGATCTCACTTAGATTACACTTCATATCGTTCTAAATAATATTTTTTTCTTATTATTTATTAGTAAGGGATTGCCCACCGTTGGACATTTGCTAATTTTTGTTCAAGTGGCACGAACCATAGGCGTTCTATGGTAACTTTACCTGGTGATCTACCTAATGCCTATACTTATTTTAGTCTCACGGGGCCATTACTCTAGGATGTACTTGCTCTTTCTGTTGTCAAATCGATGGCAGAGATGCATAAACCACAACTATTTTAGTTAACGATACATAATTCTTAAAAATAATCAATTTAAAATGACTTATTGTTTATGCTCTACTTATTTTTCAGGGGCAATATTATATTTGGCGATTATGCACGTGACGAAGAGGACTGCGGTCTAACTCGTTCACAAGCCAAAATGGGTGTTAAGTGTCCTCGCGCTTATATAGAAATTCCACTTTTGGACATCACGCCTCACCCTGAATATTCTAGGTTAAAGTATTATCCACAAATTCCAATTAAAAAATAAAGTTTTCTCTATTAAAACATAAAAAGAGTAGTTATGACGAAATTCGATAAATGAAATTGGGATTATAATAATTTGTTTCAATTTCAATTTTGGCGTATTATTTATCATCATCATGGCTCTACAGCCTAGAGTGAACCTTGACCTGATTAAGTATATTTATCCAATTTTCTCTATTTCCGGCTGTCTGTCTCCAACTCCTGATACCTATTGCTCTTATGTCCTGCTATACGCCGTCCACCTGAGCTTAGACCTGCCTCAACTTCGGCGCCCATCCGGCTTACTCTCAAGTAGGCGTTTAGGCATAAGGGAATCCTCCATCCTCACTACATGCTCAGTCCATCGCAATATTATTTAGGTACTATTTTATTGTTAAATTCATATGTAAAATATTTCTTACAGATTCGGTGTAGGAAATAGTTTGGCGCTTATAAAACTCCTTCGTCCAGTTAAATCTCGTAAGATCTTAAACATATACACTAATTTAAAAACGAGGAAATACATTTCAATCTTCTGGATAGTTAAATATTGGATTCGATAGTATTTATTAATTTTTATACTTTGTCCTACTAAAAAGAACCTAATAGCGCGCAACTAATAAACCTTAAGGTTGTTATAAAAATCTGTTTAATTTCATAATTTCATATTTATATAACTTATCCCAAAATACCAATAGACATGTAGCACGCTACTGCCACTCACGACTGAAGTGCTTGATAATGAAATCAATTGATAAAGAAGATCCTAAATATCAGTAGAAAGCAAGAAACAATATTTTTATAATGACAACCTGTGCAAGGGCGTGAGAAATGCAAAGTGACATAAATAATTAATTAAAACATTCTTTAATTTCAGATTATATGATACCTATTTGTTTACCTTCCTTGAGCGAACGTGAAAATAAACGGAAAAATAAATATGTTTTCATGGTTGATTATTTAAGCTGTAAGTACTAAGTTGATTAGTTAAATTATCATATTTTCATACAATTATCTTAAAAAAAAGCAAATTTTACTGAAGTAATACTTTATCCACTAGCGGTTCCAAGAGACTTCGACTCAGAGAAAATGGCTAAAAAGTCGTTAAAAATGTACACTCACAAGGACTGCAGGAGACATCGAATGTTATCAGTATGCACCGTCAGCTATCAGATAACTATAATTATACATTGCACATGAAAATCTTGCCTTAAAGTCATTAAATAAGCAATTTAATTGAATAATTTTATCTGATATTCATTACAAATTTACCTAATGTAAAAATCTGTGTATGTTATTACAATAGATTACTGTAGCTGTATTAAAAATAGATATTTTTGGTTATATTTCACTATGAATATTCTTGTATTTTTCTTATAGCGGCTAGGAAGTGAGGGAGTTACTCATGTACTTTGCAGCTCTGGATGTGGCATCCGACCTGGTGCACCACTTATTAGCCATGCTCGAGAAGGAACGTTTCAACTGATGGGTATCGCAGTTGGTGGCGCTCCTTGCTCACGTCGCTCTATGCGTCGACGACTTAACAGAGAGCCTCCACTCTATATAGATGTATACCCCTATGTGACATGGATCATGAATTACATTACCGCTCATGTGCTTCCTCGGCCTTATCCTGAAAGCTACATGTTAATGGAGGGTGGTTCAAGTACGTTTGAAAGCCAATTATTTGGTTTTATTTATTTTGGTATTTTTACTACCAGTCATATTTTAAAAATTCTTTTCACATTTATAGCCTAATTATTGAGAAGGGTTATCCACACTACCCTAAATAATTCTGACCATCTATAGGAGCATCACTATAATCTATAGGAGCGAAGCCATTGGTCACTTCTACGTAATAAATAATAAATTTGTACAATATACTGTGAAGCAGTCGGCTGATAGTTGCGTATTAAATCTTATTACTTATAATTATTAATATTAGTACGTAAGACAAAATAAAACTAAATGATTAAAAATCGTAAAATTATGACTCGTCATGAAAACAAGCCTTTGTAATACGCCTATCGATCATCATTAACACCAGTTGATGATTATTTTTTTGGTTGGGCACAGTCATACTCTCCTAATGCTTTGACGCTCTTTGATTAGTTTCTCTAAGAGATTGATTGACGTGACTATACTGCAAGTTGCAACAAATTATCGAAGTTGATACTTGATAAGCCTCAATAACTCTACAAATAATTAATTCATTTTGCTTAAAATAAATAGTAAAAGATGTGTATCAATTTTCAGGTATGGGTATAAACCGGGAATTTTTAAGAGCACGACGAAAACAAAAGTTTGGCTGGCGAGCTCGTACATATGTTACTGGTAACTATTGCTTTAAGAGCTTGAAAAAACAGAGGGCCGCGGCGTTTTTTTATTCCGAAAGATTTGAAGTTAATGCCGATCCGCCCGCTAAACTCAATATAATAATGAAGGTATAAGCAATAATTAAAAGCATCTTTAATCTTGCACTTGAACTTACAATTTATAACAAAACAATTTATCTCTAGATATCAGCGGGTATAGAATGCACCATTGTGTGTGCTAAAATGCTTCTTCCAAATCGGCTGTCCGTGCCTGTCATTGAGGGAGTTGGCGGATACAATATTACTATAACTTTGAATACCATGTGGTTCCCGTATACGTTCTACTTTGCGTTAGGGCTTAATGGTAAAAATACCACAGCAAAAGATTTCAACAAGTGGATTGTCGAAAGATCTCCTGGTTTTTGGTAATTATGAAAATTAATAAGTAGTAAATATTGATACTTATCTTACAGAATGTATTCAATATATTACCTATTAAACTACATCAATAAAATTAAGTCTTTTAATCAAGTCTTTGATCTCAGCTCCAAATTATAATTATAGATTTATATAGGGACTCTAATATGGTTAAGTTTTTAAACATAGTTTTTAAATGGAAACAAATATTTTATCGAGTTTATTCTTAAGTCCTTTTTTCTAAAAGTAAACTAAATTCAAAACATTTGAATATCAAAAGAAATATCTTTTTTTAAAAGTACTTTTTAAAGAAAAGTAAAATATACAAATATAACAGTATTGTATTTTCTTTTATTTTAATAATATGTTAAACAATTATCAAGTCAAGCGGTTTTTAGGGTTCCGTTACTCAAAAGGTAAAAAAGGAACCCTTATAAGATCACTCTCTTGTCCGTCTGTCTGTCTGTCCGTGTGTCACCACCAATTTTCACAGGAACGGGTGGACCTAGCAAGTTGAAATTTATACCAGATACTGAGGTTTATAGTACCTATTAGGTGTATAAAAATGAAGATCCTGAGTCAACACGATAAAAAGATATAGGCAAATTTATATTTTCGCGAAACCTTGTAAGTACCAAAATTTACCTTAATTTTCAACTTTTTATATTTATCGGAATTTTCCCTTTACTTGTGCTATAATACCTTGCTTTAAACAAAATTGACAATTCTAGGTCAACTGGAAGTACCCTATAGGTTTTGGGTCGAAAACCTATATGTTAGTTCCCGTTGACCTAGAATCACGAAATTTGGCAAAAAGCAAGGTCTTACAGCAAAATTAAGGAAAAATTCCAAAAAGTAAAAAAAAATGAAAATTAAAGTTAAACAGATTTCCTACAAATTTTATTTAAAAAAAAAAAAATTTTAGGAACATTAAATTGGCTTTTATAAAAAAAATCTATTTGAACTATACTATAAAATATTCTAACAAAACAATCATTCTACCAGTAGTAAGCGACCATAAGCTTTAGGGTACAATAATATACGACCACGGCTATCCTCTAAAAATCACTTTAAATATGTACCAGCGGCTCACCCTCGCTTCGCTAAAAAAACTCTAGACAAACAAAAACAAATCTATTCCACGGGAACTGTGCATTTTTCCGTGATAAAAAGTTGCCTATTTTTTATTCTGATGTATGAATTATATTATTGTAGTTTCATTAAAATTCAATCAGTAGTTTTTACGTACTAAGCTGTATAAATTGCTATAGTTTCTTAACTATTCCACGTGATCTCTTTAATTTTCCGGGATGAAAAGTATTTAAAATGTTGACCGGGGATATAAGGTAGCACCATGCTACATTTCATTTAAATCGGTGAAACAATTTCGGAGATTAGCCCGTGCAAACAGACAAACAGAAAGAGAAACATTTTTGAAAAAGACGGGATTTGTTCTATTTCTCTTCTTACATCCCCCTGACACGGTTTTTAGTTTTTTTCTATGTACAGTCATTCGACCTCTACTGTTTTATTATATACTAGCAGAACCCGCGGCTTCGCTCGCGTTAAAACTACAAAAAAAACTCTAGTTTATTACCGTATTAGATAAATTTCGAAAAATGCTAAAACACATATTTAATTAATTGTATTGAAGAGTATTAATACCAAGTTTCAAGTTATTCTGATCATAAATATTTTTTTGGATTTTATTATAACGTGTTTTCCCGTGGGAAAGAGATAATCTCCCGCGGTAAAAAGTCTATGTCACTTTCCAGCCCTCCAACTATCTTAACACAAAAAATCACGCAAACAGACAAACAAACAAACAAACAAACAAACAAACAAACACACTTTCACACTTTCACATTTACAATATTAGTATAGATATAGATTAAATACATTAAAATATATTACGTGTCAGTTGTTTATTTAATAGACGTTTATTGAATAGTTTATACATAAAAAGTTTAGATGAAAATTTTTTCTTGTTTCATACTTTTTATAGCATGATTTTTCAGTAGTCGGGTTTCAGTCTCTCAACTTACTTTTTTTTAATTACAATAGGACACTATAAAAATATTCGCTATTATTTTTTTATTAAAACAAATTAAATAATACTAGAATAGTACCTTATTATTTCTGTTATTCCTGAATAAATTGCATTCGTTGTTTTGTTAAATAAGGTAAATTAAAATAAATATTTAAAAAAAGGTATATTTAATGTAGAAAATCAATCGTCACATATTCATAAAAAATTAAACTATACTACTACTACATCAATTATGCAGATTCTACAGATATGGTGTCTTCATCATTTAAACCTTTGTTAGCATTATCAGCTGAAGGAAAGGGAGATTGAGGAAAAGATCCACTTGCTGGTATTTGTGGTTGTTGTAGATTTAAACCAGGCTGTTGATATTGTGGAATTTGTGGAAACCCTGGGTATTGTTGTGATGCCTGAGGAAATTGACCAAATGACGGATTGAATTGGGATCCTGGAGGGAATTGAGGGAATAATGGATTCGGTAGAGATCCCTGGGGGAACTGAGGAAATGATGGAATTTGTTGAGACCCTTGTGGGAATTGAGGAAATGATGGATTGAATTGGATTCCTTGTGGAAACTGAGGAAGGGATGGAATCTGTTGAGATCCCTGGGGAAACTGAGGGATTGATGGATTCTGTTGAGTTCCTTGGGGGAACTGAGTAATTGATGGACTCTGTTGAGCTCCTTGGGGGAACTGAGGTGATGGACTCTGTTGAGATCCCTGGGGGACCTGAGGAAGTGATAGATTTTGTTGAGGATCCTGGGGGAACTGAGGAAGTGATGGATTTTGTTGAGCCCCCTGGGGGAACTGAGGAAGTGATGGATTCTGTGGAGATCCCTGTGGGAATTGAGGAAATGGGAGTTGAGATGGGATTTGTTGAGACACTTGAGGAATTTGGGGAAAACCAGGCATATTTTTTGTATCTAAAGAAGATTGAGGTGATTGTGGTTGAGAAGATTGAGGTTCCTGTTGACTAGAAATGAAATCCGCTGATTCAATAACTGCTGAGTCTTCATCTCCTGCAGGTTGTTCTGCTGGTGCAGCTGGTGGGTTTTGCGGAGATTGAACGGTAGAAATTGGTGAAATTGGAGCAGCGGGTAAAATAGGAAAACCAGGAGCAGCCGGAGTGCCGGGTAGAGATGGATATAGGAAATTATTCGAAGGGAAGTATGCTCCCACTACTGGCTGGATGGGTTGATAATTCGGTAATGAAATTTGATAACTAAATTGCGGTTGATATCCAAACGGCGTGGATGGTATCTGACAACAATAATATTTTTTTAAATTTTGATTCTTATTTTCACGTTATAACCTAAATTGACGAATAAAATTTAATGTTAAATAAAAGAATATTTAATCGTAATTATTGACACAATTACTTACTGCATTTATATATTGACTTGTGGAATATCCGAAACCTTTTATTTGGGCAGGAAGGATTGTTTTCACTTGCGCTGTAAGTGGAATAGCACCTGGCCATGCCACCACTTTGCTTGCCGTAATACTAGCCACTGCACACATGAATAACACTAACACCTACACAAAGAAAATCAACATAAAATATATGTTTATATACGAAACTTCCATAATCAAATTTAAAAATTAATAAATGTCACTTTTGTGTATATATTATATTTTAAAACTAATTTATTTAATATTTTAGCATACCTTCATGTTGGAGGCACTAGACTTTAGAGTACTGAGATATATGTACTCGTTTTAATTCTTCGACGATTCTTTTATACCCGTTCGAGATCACCCACTTACAATCGCAGATAGAAAGATACTAGATATGGCTCTGCCGAATTTGTATGCAGCGTTTCGCGTCTTACACAACTATATAATTTAAAAGTAAATTCTGAATATAATAAAACAGATACGGGATCAATTTAATTTAAAAGTATGTACATTGCATGATTGCACTAAAAATATAAAAGTGATAGACTTTACGTGTACTATAAAGAATAATCATATCACCACCATATGAAATTCACTATATTATAACTTTTTAATGTTTCCTTGTTTGAAAGTTGACTTTATTTAATATTGATATATTGTATGAGTGTTTCTAGTAATAACTTTTGAAATTAAATAAGTCAATTTAAATTATTACCGATACTAGGAAAAGTTCAAGTGCAGCCTTTAAATTTAAAGTTTTATTAATATATAGGTAATTATTTTAAAGCAGACAATTAAAAAGCAGAAAGAATTAGTGTAAAACTGTAAATAATAAACATTCATAATATATACTTTTTTATTTTCTCACACGCTATCACTAGTTTAACTAGTTTTAAGTAGCCAATTCCTTGTCTTCGCCGACTTTAGGCATGAAAAATTCGAAAATTCTTTGCTTAAACAAGGCTACGAAAGCTTTAGGTACATTATGATGCAAAGGATGTCTGCCACCAATATAGGATGAATCAAAAAAGTTTTTAAACATTTGAAGAAATATTCGTAGTTGTTTTATCTGTGGCATTTTCGAAGCTTCCGTAAATTTACCTAAAAAAATAACCTATTTTATATTATTTATGTTATGTAATAAACTATTGTTTATTAAATCTGCTTATATCTGTACTAATACTATAAATGCAAAAGCGTGTTTGTCTTTCTATCCTTCTTTCACGAATCACACAATAAGTGAGATTGAGTTGACTTTTGCACACAGATAATAATTTAAAAAAAATAGCTATAGTGTAAGTGTTTATATGGATTTTTATCCGACTACATGCCTAGTTGCCCAATGGCATAAAAGTTTAAAGTAAAAGATTGTAAATATGTAAAATAATATTTAGGGTACGAGCGAAGCGAGGACGGGTCACTAAAACAATATAAAGTTATATTTCTTACTTGCGCCACTAGTATTCTGTCTTTTGACGCGAATCCTTGAATTATTTGTTCTCACATTGTTATTGTACATTTCAATCACAGTATTTACATTTACTTTTGCTTCACTTAAGACCTTATCAGGAATTTTAATTTCTTCCTGCAATGATAAATATAATAATATACAAATATAATAATAATATGGTAATATTTGCTGTAAAGTAAAAAAAATATTAGGCCAGTAAAAATTAAAATATAACTTTGCACTAAATTTCCGATCCAATTTTTTCTTTTATAAGATTTAGGATCACTTACTGAGTATAAAATCAAAAAAGGCTGACAGACTTTTTAAATCGGTCAAATATAAATCTCCTACATAAACCTAAACCTAAATAAACCTAAATACCTTAAAACAACCTTAATTTTTCTAACTTCATACAATGTCAATATGATAAAAAAAACCGAACTTATTGAACAAAAACGATAACAATGATGTAGATTAATGTACTAAAGGCTAAAAAATAATTAGGTAGGCCCCCAGGTACCAGTCATCACACCATTCTCCTCATCAATCTAGGACAATGATCAGACCCAAAAATAAAATCGTGGGGCGTAGCGTGACCTAAATAAATATGTAGCTTTTGTTACATTATTTACACTATTATTATGTTTCTCTTCAATAAACCGTTTAAATTTAAAAAAATACCTATTTTATTTTCAAGTTTTTAGATTTTTGTCTTAAACTGTCTAAACTCTAGAAGCCGCCATGCACTGAGTTCTACATGTAAAGCCCTTTCATTTGATACCCATATTAAGGGAAAAAGGGGTGAAAAAATGTTATCCGCCATTTTGTGGCGGCGGCCATCTTGAATTTACAATGAATTTAATAAATTGTATTGTCAGTTGGAATAAAAGTGTTTAGGTATCAAATTTAAGATCAATCTGTCAACAGGTATTAATTGGTAACATTTCAATTACTAAATTTGACCCAAATATACAGGGCAAGCTAAATAAAACCGTTTCAAGAATATAAACAGTCTAATTAAATATAAAAAAGCTAACGCATTTAATGCTTAGTATAAGATAATACTTTTTATGCTGGCAGATTTAATTTGAACTCTGCATATCCATTGTAGTACTATAATTCTTTTTTATATTTAATTTAACGTTAATTAGCAAAAATATTTAAAGAAGTTCCCTTAGTTACTTGGCATTCTGCTTGCTAAACATGTTTCGAGTTGAAGTTGTTAAAACAAGTTCTTTAACAATACTTACCTGAAGCACCATTGGTAAACAATTTAATATCCTAAGTAACAAACAAGTAAAAAACAATATATAATACATGGTCTAGGTATAATAATATGACCCACTTAAAACAATATACCAGAGAGCTGCTTTAAGACGGATTAAGATATAGAATTCACTAAAACATTTAGCAACCAGACTGTTTATTTTATTAATGTTTTGTTTATGTAAATAAATATTTATTTCTATGCATGTTATGTTAATCATGGATGATGAATTATATAAAAATGACAAATCACAATAACATACACTTACTTTCAAACTCGCGAGATGTTGCTGTGTAATGTCTCATTGTGTCTGACTACGGTGTCCATAATGTCGGAGTCAAAATTAATCATTGTTTGTTTTTTTAATTTTAAATAAAATAAATGAATGCCAGTATAAATTATGTTAAAACTCTCCAAATTATATAAGCGGTAAGAAACATATGTTTGTTTTGAATAATTTAAAAATGTTATATATTTCTGTAACTATGTCCTATCAATTCAGTAAATAATTAAATATTTGGCAAAACATTTAAACCTTAATTCTACCTTAATATTTATATGCAATGAAGTTCTACATACTTTTCCAACAGTGTTACAAGGACTCGAGGCATGATATTGCTTGTTTTGTACAAATGTATCACATTACTTTTAGTTATAATGTCCCTTTAAATCAAGCGTAACGACTGTCATCCTATCGCATGCAAGGCTGCTCTAGATCTCATTCGATAGAGATCACCGACTGACATTTGCTACCAGTTAGCTCCAGGTAACACCCGTGACATTTCTACACTAAACTTGTTCAATGACTACAAATTTAAAAACTACAAACTTTTTAAATTAATACTCATAGTTTATTATACTTATTTATTAATCATTTATAGTAATATCTTATTCGTATTTAGAAATGTGTTTAGTTACAAGTTTATATTTAGCTTTTATTATACCGTAAAAATTACAAAACATATTTAAAAATATTAGTTATTGTAATGTACTACGATGCATTCTAATTATTTTTATATCAAGCACAAATAAAATCACCGATGTTATAATTTAACGATGTTTTCTGTTAAGATTAAAATTAAAGTTGCTTAGATTGTTATAAGATATAAATACAAAAGTTAATGCAAGAGTTCAAAAGGCTTCATTAATAAAGTATATTTTCTTCATTTTAACTTTAATTTAGAGCTTAGATAATTAATAATAGTCTTTCTTCAGAGAAAATAGTTTAGGGGAATTGAATAGAAACAGTGTATAATTGTAATAGTTATATTTTATATTATTTATTTTTTTATGGTTTGACTGAAATAATGTTCTAGCCTTTAACTAATTTTAATTAAATTACTTTAACTAAAATTAGATAAAGGCAAGAAATAGTAAGTACATGAGATTATGAAAGAAAAATTATTTGATTTGCAGTTTTGCTCAAACGATCGATTTTATTTATATCATAGATCGTAGAGGTTGCCTGCGACTCATCCCCTGCTTAGCGTGAAACCCATAAACCTTTCTCAATAAATAGCCTAAAAAATGCATAAATATTTTTTCTAATTAAACTGGCGATTTCATAGATAAAAGCATTTAAACAAAAAGAAACAAACTTTCAGTTTTGTATCTATACGTATAATAAAATTCTAAATGAGTCGAATCTGTACATGGAATATTTTTTGGAAAATGTTATTGAAATAGTTATTATAGTCATTTTATCGATACAAAAGCCCAATCAGTATTTAGAATTTTTGTCTGTCGACGCACGTTTGGGAACGCATTACGAGAAAACTACTGGACAGATTTTGATGAAATTTAGTATTATGATAGCTGGTTATCCGGGTCAACATATAGAAGACTTTTTACTGTGATGTGATGTGTCTCATCTCTGAGAAATCTATTCTAAACGTTAAAACACTAACTAGAACCGAGCCCGAGCGGAGCGATGGTGAGTTGTTAATATTAGTATAGACTAGATAACACTTCTGGGATGTACTCGTAGTATAATAAAAACGAAATAGCACTGACCACTTATAAAAATGTAATTAAAAACTTTATATATGTAATTGAGACAAGTCAGTGATTGGCAATGACATTTACTTGTAACATAGAGTATGGAATATTATTACATTTTTTAACACGGATAGTTAAAGATACAAGTAAAATGATACATATATATTATGATAATTTCAAAAAAGCCTAATATATATTTCTGTGATAGATGCGACGTGCCAGGTAAAATTAATTATGGTAGGAAGTAAATAAAAATATAGTAATTTATTTACATGTTTACCTAGACATAGTACTAGTGTGCTTGTGACATTAACAAAACACGTATATTTTAATGAAATGAAACCATTTATTTTTATTTACTATTACTAAATGTAAATAAAATGTCATTATAACTTGAATATCCTGTTTGAAGGACTCGATGACGGAGGCAGATTCATCGGTTCAAACACGAGAAATCAAAAAGCCTAAAAAGAAAAGTATGTGTTCTCGTTTATTAATTTCTCCTAAAATTTTATAATATATTCATGCTATATTCTATGGACTTAACTATATTAATAAAAATTAACAATTTTTTTTCTTAATAACACGTACATACATATAAAAACAACATCAATAACAACGTAACAAAACATAATATTATTGGTATTGCTAAAAAAATTTTTATTCACCCCTAAACTCTAATAAAAGGTGATAGGTAGATTTAATGTGACGTAAGTTCGCCCCCGCGGCCGCGCTATGAGACGGGCGCGCGTCGCAAACAGTCGGCCACCGGCCGCCGCGAGGCGCTGAGCTGGAGCGTACACGATCACATCACTTTGTTTATATATACAATCTATCACAATCAATTAACAAGAAAAGGACAACACAAAGCAACGCACTCACGCACGTACGTTTCACATTGATTTCATGAATAAATTTAGGCAAGCTTCACACAATCCATACCTAGAACATTGTCCACACGAGGTCTTTGTATGTTTTGGCCTACATTCATGACAGCACTAATGTCTTGTTTATCGATAACGTTGTTGTCTATATTTAATTCTAGATTTAACATTAACCCATGTTACTAAACAATACACATGTGGTGTCACACAGAAATCACTAGATATCCTATACTCAGAATACGAACTATCTTACATCAATATATCTTACATCATCATATTATTTAACTAATTATCAAGTGTATTTGCCGATTGATTTGTGATAAATCTACATTATAACAAAACTATAACTCTTGAAACTTTTAATTAATTCAACGAATAAAACTATCGAATCTACGAGTAGAAAAACGATTAAACTTAAACGATTTAAAAATGGCTCATTTAATACATGATATTACCCATTTCAAATAAATATTTTTTGTCATGACAAAGAAGTTCATGCTCTATATTTATTATTATTTTAAATCTTTGTTATATATATGAGTAGTAAGCGTATCATAGTTAAATATTAGTATTATTCGTTTATAAAAAAGTAAGACAGTTTCTTCTGTAGCGTACCGTATGGCGGAAGACGTAGCGGGCGAAGGCCTCTTTGAGCGGCTTCGTCTGCATCAGCAACGCGCGCCAGACTCTACCGAAGTAGCGCGCGGCATCACCGCACGAATCAATTCACGTCTCTCATCACATGGTAAGTTTTGTTTTATATTCGAGAATTAGATGAAAAATTGTTATTTAGAAAAGTCGACGAAGATTTACTACTAAAATCAACCAAAAACTGCAAAATTTTCTACTGATTTAGATAATTTATTATATTTTTCATTATCATAACATTTTGGAATATATAGAAGAATGCTTATTCTAAACACCTTATAAAGTATATAAATTATATATATATATATATATATATTACACGCCTCTCTTAGATACACTATTTTTTCTAAATACTAAATATTAATCCTCTAAAAAATATGAATGTGATCAACTAATTGTATTAAAAGGTATAAAATGATACTTTTACCAATTTAACACAAGTAGATCAATTGTTATTCAACATTGTTACTGGGCCGCGATCAGTACTCTGACTGTGTAAAAAATAGCATACAATAATTTGCCAATTTGGAAAGACATTAAGCAATGACAGATGTTGAAAAGAATTCTTCTGCAACTTTAGTTGCATATTTTAGGTCATTTTATCACATCAGTATAAAAGTATTTTTAGTTTTTACCAACGTGGTCTTATCGAATATCGTGTTACACGTTGGTACTCTTTAAAGTATTAATCAATAGATATTCACACGCACTTTTAACTTTACATAATATAAGTACACTTAGGCTCACGATAAGCATTATAATATGATAGAGGAACAAAATTACCTTTGTGTTATTTATTTATTAAAACCTGAAGTATTTTAAGAAATTAATATATAATTTTGTGGGCAGATACCGTGTGTAACCTATATACATATAATAAAATTGTAACTAAGCCAAATCTGTACATTAAATATTTTTTGGAAAATCTTATTGAAATAGACATTATTATCGATACATAGGCCGAATCTATAGTTTTTAGAATTTTTGTCTGTCTGTCTGTCTGTCTGTCCGTCTGTCTGTTACCGCATCATAGACAAACCACTGGAGGGATTTTGATGAAATTAAGCATGGTGATAGCTGGTTATCCGGGTCAACATATAGGAAACTTTTAACCGCGGGAAAATGTCTTATTTCTGAGAAAAATTACAAAAACTGCAATGTAAGAGTATGATAATGATAATGATAGCCTTTATTAATGTGGCGGACGTGAGGAGAAAATAATAAGGCTTTAATAATAAGCGTTTATTGAAGTGCGTATTGCACTTGCGAGACCAAGCGAGAGACTGTACAATCGATACATATTCGATCTATAATCTAATGTAATATCTATACTTATATATTATGCTCGTTACAAATCATATTACCTCATGTTACAATAGGTACAATATTCCCCCCTTTTTAAAAAAAAAAATAAGTAAAAAATAATATATAAAAGTTATTAAGAAAAATGAATACATTTTAACGCAAAAAAAAAATGTAAAATGTATAAAATTATATTCTAAACATAAAATATAGTTTGCAAAAAAAAATATTATTAATACCTAAAAATATCATAATTACATGCTATTACAGTTTCCTTACATCTATCACAAATTATTTTTTCGAACATTAATTTTTTTACCTATTCAGCATAATTATTCACTGTATATCAATTCACTGTATATTCACTGTATATTCACTGTTTCAAAAATATCGTAAAGAGGTCGTCCACATTCGTTGCACAGCCACTCATGTTCCGGCGGAATTTCCCATAGTTCTCCTAAGGTCATGATACTTCTTTCCTTGCAGAATGGATGAGGAATGCATCTGGCAAAGCCGAGATCTAGAAGATTCTTCTGATTCTCTATAGATTTTAAAATCCGAAGAGCTCTGATAAGAATGCAGCGTTGCAGAGAAGGAGGTATTTTCGACGATGATACCATTTTTGTTACTTCAGCTAACGCTAAAACTAAACGATCGAGCTGAACATTCGATATTAATATCTTAGCGAAAATTTCTTCACTTCTTGCATATAGACTGTCCATCTACTATGTAATTACTGAAAGAGACCAGATGTCTCTTGATCTACAAATAATGTGAATGTGTATAGCTTCACCAAGATGCAGATTTTAAATAAATTGATCTCGGAATCTTACTACTGGCTTGCTGATTCGGCCGGATCGCGTTACTTTATTATTTACATGTGTCTCCTTGTTTGGAATTTCGATACTAGTGCTATCCCGCGTATCAAACTCTTCATTATTATTTAATAAAAATGCTGGCTTTAATCTATCAATAGAAACAGTACATTCTTTGTCTGCCATTAATATTTTAAAATGTTTTTCTTTACGGTCTAATACTTTGTACGGTCCTGAATATGGTGGATTTAAGGACTTACATAATTTATCGCACCGTAAAAATACATGAGAGCATTTTTGCAATTCAGGGTGAACAAATATATTTTTCTGTGATTTCTCTCGTTTGGGTACTGAACAAATATTACTTATATGTTCTCTCAGTTGCTTTAAAAATGTCTCGCTATCGGAATTTAGTGGCGTTGTAGGCTCAAAAAAATCTCCGGGTAGCTTAATTGGACTGCCATAAACCATCTCCGCTGCACTGGTTTGCGTACAATCTTTTAGGCTTACTCTTAAGCCTAGTAGTACAGTTGGTAACTCCTGAACCCAATTATTGTTTCCTCTAGTCATTAACGATGCCTTAAGAGATCGATGCCAACGTTCGACAGCACCGTTTGCCTGTGGATGATAAGCAGTTGTTCGAGTTTTCATAATACCAAGGCGCTTAGATAATTGATTGATAAGATTCGACTCAAACTGTCTTCCTTGGTCAGTCGTAATTCGTAAAGGACAACCAAAACGTGAAATCCATCCTGAATATATTTTCTCTGCAACAGCCTCAGCTGTTATGTCTCTTAAGGGAAAAGCTTCCGGCCAACCCGTGGCTCGGTCTAACATCGTAATTAAATATCTGTATCCTTTGTAAAGTGGTAATGGACCAACAATATCAATATGTATATGTTCAAAACGATTGCTTGTTGGAAATTTGCCAAAAGGTGATATTGTATGCCTATGTATTTTACATTTCTGACAATCTATACATGCTCGAGCCCAGTTAGCAACATCTTTGTTCATAGAATGCCAAAAGAATTTATCGCATATCATCTTTCTAGTTGATCTTATACTCGGATGACTCAATCCATGTACGGCGTTGAAAGCCTGCACTCGGAATTCTTTAGTCAAATATGGTCGTGCGAATTGTTTTGAAACTTCACAGTAAATTGATTCTTGACTGTTATGAAGTTGAAACTTTTTAAAACATAAATTTTTAGATTTTAATAAAACTTGTAATTCTTTATCTTTTTCCTGAGCTTCGCTAAGAGCATCATAGTCGATGTATGATGGCATGTTAATTTCAGAAATTCGTGATAACGTATCAGCAACAATATTTTGAGATCCACTAATATGTTCAATATTCGAACAAAATTGCATTATAAAATCGAAATGTCTTAATCGACGCGGTGTATCGCTGTCTGTATAAGAATTTTTTTTCAAAGCATAAACGAGTGGTTTATGATCTGTGTAGACTGTTAAGGGGCGTCCCTCGATCAAATATCTGAAATGCTTTATAGCCATATAGATAGCAAGTAATTCTCTATCGAAAGCACTATATCGCGTTTGCGCTTCGCTCAGCTTAGTGGAGAAAAATCCTAAAGGCTTCCATGTGTTGCCTTCACGTTGCTGTAATACTGCGCCAATGCAAGTCTTAGACGCATCCGTCATAAGGGCTATATTCGCGTCTGCAGCTGGGTGTGATAGTGTAACGGCGCTGATTAGGCTCTCCTTACACTGTTCAAATGCCGCAATTGACTCATCTGTCCACTTGACTTCTGTCTTGTCATTTTTTCTACAGTTATGTAAAAATATATTTAATTTTGACTGAATCTCTGCTGCTTGAGGAAGATGTCTTCTGTAAAAATTAATCATACCTAAAAAACGTCTGAGTTCCTCGATTGTTTTAGGCCTAGGAAAATTAATTATAGAGCTAACTCGTTGTTCTAAGGGTTTAATACCATCTTTTGAAACGTGGTATCCCAGAAACTCTATTTCGTTCTGCCCAAAATTGCATTTTGAAGTGTTAATAGTTAAGCCATATTTATTAAATCGCTCAAATACTAGTCTGAGGTGTTCCTTATGTTCGGATTCAGATTTCGACGCTACTATTACATCGTCGATATATACAAAAATAAAATTAAGATTTTGAAGTACGACGTTATTTAAAAATCTCTGAAATGTTTGAGCTGCATTTTTTAGCCCAAACGTCATCCTTGGGAACTCAAAAAGACCGAATGGCGTAGTGATGGCTGTCTTCTCTATGTCTTCACTATTGATGGGAATGAAATGATAGGCACGTGTTATATCGATCTTCGAAAATATCTTTTTACCCGACAGTAAATATGTAAAATCTTGTAAGCGTGGAATCGGATACCTGTCAGGCTTAGTGATGGCATTTAATTGCCTGTAATCACCACATGGTCTAATACCACCATCCTTTTTCGGGACTACGTGGAGTGGACTTGCCCAACAGCTCTTCGATGGTCTACATATGCCTACGTCTTGCATGATTTCAAATTCCGATTTTACCTTCTGATATTTGTCCGGAGCTAAAGGTCTGGGTCGCGCAAATACAGGAGGTCCTGTAGTCTCAATATAATGAACAACAGAGTGTCTTGGTGTATCTTTGAAACAAACAGGTTTCGTTATATCGGGATACTCTAACATTAAGTCGTAATATTTATTATTTATATCCAACGTAGTAATAGATGACTCATCGGCTTGCACTATCGATGTTATAGTATCTATATTTGTTATTTGATCAATAAGTCGACGACGATATAAATCTACTATAAGCTTATGATAGGTTAAAAAGTCTGCGCCTAATATTGGCTGTTTAACGTCCGCTAACACAAAAGTCCACCGAAAAGGTCGGCGTAAATTTAAATTTAACACTAACGATTTAACACCATATGTCTTTATTTCACTGCCATTAGCTGCATAAAGTTTATATTTATCACTAACTACATTGTCATAGAGTCGTTTT